CACTCGGCCACCTCGGCCTGCATCTCCCGCTGTCATTCAAGCAGACCTGACCCGATTTAAGGGAGGGAGCCCTGGACCCTCCTCATCTGGGCTCAGGTGGAACTGACTTCCCTTGGGGCTGTCTGGAGGCACCGATAACACTGTTGGGCCCAACTGTGACTAATGGCGGACGGGATGCCGTCAGCTGAGATCGCGCCATTGCACTCCAGCCTGCACGACAGAGCAAGACTCTGTCTCCAAAAAATCAATAAATAAAAACCCAACTGCATGTCCCTCAGATCTTAGCTTCTACATCAGTTCCTCAAAGAAGCCATCCCTAACCACCAAAACTACCAAAACTGATTAGATGTCGCAGCATCTGGGGCTGGTACCCGCATCCATTAAAGTGCTGATCACACTGTAGTAGAATTGCCCCAGCCAATGAAGTCCTTGCCCTCCGTCATCCCTTCCACGGTCTGTCTGTTTCACGTGGCTTCTGTAGCCAGCCTAGTAAGGCATGTCTTATATTTGCTCTCCCTCCTCTCTTGCCTTGAAGTCCCCTTCCCTTCACCCTTGCTGAGCTGGGATTTCCTTCTTTCTTTCTTTCTTTTTTTTGAGACGGAGTTTCACTCTTGCTGCTCAGGCTGGACTGCAGTGGCATGATCTCGGCTCACCGCAACCTCCGCGTTCAAGTGATTCTCCTGCCTCAGCCTCCCGAGCAGCTGGGATTATAGGCATGTGCCACCACGCCCGGCTAATTTTGTATTTTCAGTAGAGACGGGGTTTCTCCATGTTGGTCAGGCTGGTCTCGAATTCCCGACCTCAGGTGATCTGCCCGCCTCAGCTTCCCAAAATGCTGGGATTTAACAGGTGTGAGCCTCTGCGCCTGGCCTGCTGAGCTGGGATTTTATCCCTAATAAAGCATTAGCATATAAAATTTGCCTTGGCCTCTGTTTTCCAGGGATCCAGGCTGAAATGCTAGCTGCGTGACCTTGGGCAACTTACTTAACCTCTCTGAGCTTCAGATCCTTCATCTGTAAAAAGGTAAATAATAGAACAACATCTCAGCGGGGCACAGTGGCTCATGCTTGTAACCCCAGCACTTTGGGAGGTTGAAGTGGGTGAATCACTTGAACCAGGAGTTCAAAACCAGCCTGGGCAACATGGCAAAATCCCGTCCCTACAAAAATACAAAAGTTAGCTGAGCATAGTAATGCACGTCTTGGGTCCCAGTTGCTCAGGAGCTTGAGGCTGGGGAATGGCTTGAGCCCAGGAGGGCAAGATTGCAGTAAGCCAAGATTGTGCAGTCCAGTCCGGGTGACACAGCAGGACTTTGTCTAATAATAATAATAGAGCATGTCTTAAAAGTTGTTGTGGAGTTTAATGAGACAGCACAGGCAAAATACTTGGCTGAAGAAATGAGAGCCTTCATTAGTATCATTACCGTGAACCAAAAGCTGGATTCCAGCACTTGAAAACATTTACCCAACATTGACCTTCGTGAATATTTATTGGGTGTCAACTCTGTTTCAGGTAATACACTGGCCTCTTCCCACAAGGACTTAGCCTAGAAAATGAAAGAAAAGTCACTGGGCAATTATACTACAGTGTGATCAGCACTTTAATGGATGCGGGTACCAGCCCCAGATGCTGCGACATCTAATCAGTTTTGGTAGTTTTGGTGGTTAGGGATGGCTTCTTGGAGGAACTGATGTAGAAGCTAAGATCTGAGGGACATGCAGTTGGGTTTTTATTTATTTATTTTTTTGAGACAGAGTCTTGCTCTGTCACGCAGGCTGGAGTGCAATGGCGCGATCTCAGCTGACTGCAACTTCTACCTCTTGGGTTCAAGCGATTCTTCTGCCTCAGCCTCCCAAGTAGCTGGGACTATAAGCATGTACCACCACACCCGGCTAATGTTTGTAGTTTTGTTGAAATGGGGTTTTACCACATTGGCCAGGCTGGTCTTGAACTCCTGACCTCGTGATCCGCCTGCCTCAGCCTCCCAAAGTGCTGGGATTACAGGCGTGAGCCACGGCGCCCGGCCCAGGGACATGTAGCTGTTAACCAGATGATGGGGAGGCAGAGGGCAAAGTCTTCCTGGCAGGGGTAAGGGCATGGGCAAAGGACTAGAGTTGAGGGAAAACATCTCAAAGAACATACTGGTTCTCACCCTCGAGATGCAGGTAAATTTCAGGAAAAACAAAATGGATGAATATGCACCAATGAAAATGCATGAACATGGCCTTTGCAAGGAGTGTGTGAGGTGTAGAGCTATACTCTATTCCAATATGCTAGCCAGGGCCACGTGTGGATTTTAAAATTTATGCCAATTGGCTGGGCACGGTGGCTCACACCTGTAATCCCAGCACTTTGGAAGGACGAGGCGGGCAGATCATGACGTCAAGAGATCGAGACCATCCTGGCCAACATGGGGAAACCCTGTCTCTACTAAAAAAATACAAAATTAGCTGGGTGTGGTGGCATGCACCTGTAGTCCCAGCTACTTGGGAGGCTGAGGCAGGAGAATTGCTTGAACCTGGGAGGCGGAGGTTGCAGTGAGCTGAGATCCCGCCACTGCACTCCAGCCTGGCAGCTGGCAACAGAGCGAGACTCTGTCTCAAAAAAAAAAAAAAAAAAAAAAAAGCTAATTAAAATTAAGTAAAATATAAAACTTAGTTCCCTAGTCTCCCTGACCTCCTTTTAAGTACTCAGTAGTCATCTGTGGCTAATGTTGGACAGTGCAGATATAGAAAGTTCTATTGCACAAAGCTGACAGAGGCTAATCAGGACAGACTTCCTGGAGGAAGGGGCAGAAGAGTGCAAGGAAAGGTTCTGGGAAAATCCCTGGGGAAGCACTGCGCTCTATTCTCAGAAAGAGAAAAGCCAGGGCTGGGAAGGTGAGATGGGGAGAGGGAGGGGTGTTGCCTCTGGAAACAGTGTACAACCTGACACCTCTTTGGTTAGGGTTTACCTCTGGGTATGTGCGAGGTGGCATCTCTCACCTAGGTGGGAAGACACAGGAATAGAAGGGGAGCCAGCTAAGGTGGGGCTGAACCAGGAAGTCCTGCCCCTTCTGGGTCCAGGTTCAGGAGGACTCTGGGAGTTGTAGTTCAGCACTTCTAGAATCCTCCTGAAGCTTGACAGGGATAGAAGAGCTTACGCCAGCTGGGCATCTCTTGGGGCGGAGAGGGGGGTTGATGGTTAGGGTTGGGGAAATGTCTGGATTTGGAGTGTCCGTGGTGGGTAGGGTGGCAGGAGGAGGACTGTCTTGTCCCCTCCCATCCTTATGTTCTGGGATAGAGAGAAGATGCCGGGGTTGAAGACTGCATTGGCTAGGTAACTGAGAAACACGAACATTTCGTTAAACAGAACCCCCAGCCTACGCATTCTGGTTCATGGAGATTTGCCCAGGAGAGACGGGAAGCTCCCATAAGGTTAGGGAGGAGGGGCAGCAGATGTCACGTCATCAGCTGTTGGTCATTCATGCACTCAGCATATATTCTTTGAGCACCTACTGTGTGCCAAGCCCTGTTCTAGTCACCGGGAATCGGGATTGAATGAAAGACAGACGTCCCTTCCTCCAGGAGTTCTAGATAAAAGAACAGACCATCAACAGTGATTTGCCTTTGATGGTAGAACATACACATGCCAGGTAAAAGCCTGACTTCCATGAATGTTGAAGGATTTTAAGTTTCAATCCAGCCATTCCTGGTCTCCTCCTCACAAACTTCTCTCTGGAAGTGGGACTCATTGTAAAAGCAGCTGGGTTTGATCCTTTTGATGATTGTACTCAAGATACCCAGATAATAAGCAGAATGTTCTGAGATGCGAGACTTCATGGGACCTCTGCCGTCCGATTTCTGGGCTCCAGCACTGTGCACAAGTCAGCCGGGGGTTCTCGGGCTGCTGTCTGGTAAACAGGGCGTACCCTGTTTGGGTCTGAGGGTGATCAGACCTTCAAAAGGGTTGCAGTGGAAACGGTGTGTAACGGGAGCTGCCCTTGCTTTTTACACACACCCATCAACCGAAGAGCAAGCTGAGGCACGAAGTCTTCCCACCAATCCTCCTGAAGCCACAGTGTGTGATGTCCTTTTCTTTCTCAACTTTATTGCCTATCTTGCTTATAGTAAAGGCACATTGATTTTAGGTCCTCCAGTTATTCATGCTCTGTACATTTCCCATCGGAGCACATGTCACAGATGCAATAGATACACTCGTGAAATTGTTTGTTTTGATATCTGTAAGCTGCACAACAGCCTGGATTTTGCCAGCTGCCCACCACTGGGTCTCCAGCACCCAGCATGCGATAGGTGCTTAATAAAGATCTGCTGAATGAAATGGGTAAAGGATAACGAAACAGGTATTTTCTCTTTCAGAGCCGACTTCCTACAATTGTCTCAACTTGTCCACAAGTTCCTATATCCATTACCCCACAACCCACAGCCCAACACAGTGGCAGGAAGATTCCCATACAGTAGGCGCCCCGGCGGAGTGAACTCCCGGGTGCAGTCCCCCTATTTGCCGCGAGGGGGCGCCAGCACCGCGCACAGACCTTGCCAGCCCCCGGGCCGGCACCTGCACCCCAGGCAAGCCAAGCCTACATTTAGACAGAGCCTCCTGAACTCCTGGGCTGCATTAGGTTCGGGGTCGCAGGCTGGGCAGCGGGTCGGTGCCCGTGGTGGAGGGATCCTGGCCGGTGACTGGGGAACATCCAGGAGACGCGGGAGGCGACCGGGAGCAACGCTCCCAGTTGCACCGAGCGGGTTCGGGGCTCGAGGGGCGGGAACGTTTCCGGGAGGGGTGTCCGGGCGAGTCGTGACCTCTGACCGCCGGAGAGATCCCAGGCCCAGGCGCTACTGCCGACCCGGGTTTTGCCGGCTCTGCTCCCCTCCGCGCAGGCGCGGCCGCCTGCAGTTCCCATGGTGACGGGGGCGCGTCCCCGCCCGAGGCCCCGCCCCCAGCAGGCTAGGCTGCGCTGGGCTGCGGGCGCCGCGGGCAGGTGCCGCGGGCTGCGGGCAGGTGGCGGCGCGGCGCGGGCTGGCTGGCGGCGGCTCCACGGTAGGTTGCGCAGCGGCTGTGGGGAGTCGGGGCCGGCTGGTCGCCTCCAGTCCCCGGCCCGCGAGGTAGCTGGGGGTGACGGCGGCTAGCGAGGGCCGCCAAGTTTCTGCCCGGCCGAGGCCCCGGGAGAAAAGTTGGCAAAGTTGGCCGGGGAAGAGGCGGGGACCCGAAGGATTTCCCCAGACTCCGGGTCTGCGGGGAGGGAGGATTCCGGTTTGGGAGCCGGGGAATCCGTCTCCCGAGACTTGGGAGTGGATCCCGCGGGAAGATCCCGCACAGGGCAACCAATGGATCACGTGCCACCTGATTGGCGACTTGGGAGTCGATCCCTGGAGGGGATTGGGCGCTGGAGGCCTGGGGTCCCACTGGATCCCCAGTCAGGGGTGACTGCGGAGGGTGATTCGGGATTGGGAGCTAGAGGATCAATCTCCTCCCATGCCGGGCTGAGCCTTGGGAATGGATTCAGAGAGATCCGGCGGCCGGGAGCTGAGGGATCTCTGGAGATCTGGGTTACTTAGCCTGGAGCTGCTAGGGTCTGGACATCCGTGTGGGTCGGAGGCCCCGAAGGTGGACAGTGTGGAGCAAGGGCGATGATTGAGACGGAGCCCCGGGCGAAGGGAGCCCGGAAGACAGCGGGGGTGTTTCGGGGGCGTGAGAAGGGCGGCGCGGGGCCCCTCCGGCGCGGAGGCTCTGGACGCGTCCTCCTGGCCTGGCCTGGCCTGCGCCCCCTTCCGCTCGTCTTCACAGGGCAGAGGCGCCTTGATGGGATTAAGGCTCAGCCCCCCTGCTCCCAGGCAGGCCCGCGTGGTCCCCGCCCCGGTGGCGGCGCGGCCCGCCCGGGCTCTCGGGTGGGGCCCCCGGGATGGGAAGCGGCTCATTGACCCCCAGCCGAACCTGACCTTTTCACGCCCTCTCGGCACACAGTCGCCTGGGAGTGGGGGCGCTGCGCGGTGAAACCGTGCTATTTGTCCAGTCCTGGAGCAGGCTTTGACCTCGGAGCCGCGCGATGCCTAGGTGGCCAGGGCTTCCTGCCTGCCGTGACTGAACTTTCTGTAGCCAGCAGCAGCCATTATATTTTGGAAGGGAAAGGACTGTACCTGTTGCACAAAGAACACTTTCTTTGCAGCTTCTTTGTGACCTTGGGGAAAACGCTGAACCTATCTGAGTCCGGATAGGAATTCTCTGGGCCAAATGGGCTTGGCCTAGGAGGGTCTGCATTCTCCCTCTTCTAGGAGGCTGGCAGGATGGATCGGGATGAAGGGTATGAAACAGGCAGGGGCTCTGGAAGTATCAGTGCCTCTCTCAGTCTATGGCCCCTCCTTTCCCATGCCCCATCCCTCGTGCTTGCCCTGCAATATCTACAGATTCCAGAAACTCTACTTGCTGTCTTTTGAAACTGCAGGATTAGAGAGATAGTGAGCTTAGCCTTTCTTCCAAATGAGTTAATTGCCCCTGTGGTCCCCCCTGGCAGATGGAAGCTCTGAAGTTTGGCTAATGAGTAACCAGGACATTTGGACAAGGCTTCTCCCTTGGCCTAGCTTTCCCTCTGCGAATCCATCAAGGCTCCCGGACAAACCCGTGTGCACCCCGGACGCTGGTGCCTCCTTCCTTCCTGTAGCAGCCGGGGACAGTTCCTGAGGAATGTATACAGACACAAGCCCAGATCTTCGTGGCTCTGGTGGGGGAAGGGGGAACCTTTTTAAAGGATTTGCATGCTTTTGAAAGGGTGCAATTACCCAAGAGAAGTGCAGAGTTTCAGTGCAGTGTCTGGGCATATAATTCAGCTGGGCACGTGAACAGGTTGGCTCCATCAGCCAGCGTGTATCGAGCACCTACCGCATCTGGAGTGCTGTGGAAATGGCGTTGGAGTTATTTTCCGTCTATGGAGCAGTCAGCTTACCCGCTAGTCTAGTACTGATTATTGATGTTGGGGTTACATTTCTCACCCTAGCTTCACAGACTGGAAGCTGCTCCTACCCCCATGGAGGACCTAGAGGCTTTTTTTTTTTTTTTTTTTTTTTTTTTTTTTTTTTTTTTTTTAAGATGCGAGTCTCACTCTGTAGTCCAGGCTGGAGTGCAGTGGTGCAATCTCGGCTGGCTGCGATCTCCACTCACTGCAACCCTGCGCCTCCCGGGTTCAAGCAATTCCCCTGCCTCAGCCTCCTGAGTAGCTGGGACTACAGGCATGCGTTGCCATGCCTGACTAATTTTTTGTATTTTAGTAGAGATGGGGTTTCACCCTGTTGCCCAGGATGGTCTCGATCTCCTGACCTCGTGATCCTCCCCTCCCAAAGTGCTGGGATTCCAGGCGTGAGCCACTGCACCCAGCCAATTTTTGTATTTTTAGTAGAGATGGGGTTTCACCATGTTGGCCAGGCTGGTCTGAAAGTCTTGACCTCAGGTGATCTGCCCACTTTGGCCTCCCAAAGTGCTGGGATTCCAGGCGTGAGCCACCGCACCCAGCCAGGGCTGTTTTTTAGTCAAGGCTGACGGTGGCAGGAGAGTGAAGGAGCCAGGTGTCTGGCTCTGAGCATTTCTCCTCCCAGGCTACATCTCTGACCAACTCAGAAAAAGAGCCTTACAGGGATATTTTATATGTGCATTCATTCATTCATTTATCATTTGTTCCTTCAACAAATATTTCAAGACAACTGTGTCAAAGATGAGGCTAACCACACCCTTAAGGGGATACTTTATGTCCTTAACTTTATGTGCCTTTGTGAACATAAGGCACTTGTCTGGAAGGGGAGAACCATGATCATACGAAGAAGGGCTGATGCCGTTGGCTGTAAGGAGGGATAGGGGTCAGAGAGTTCAGTTTTCTGGTCAGCCAATGGGAAGAACTTGGTGTTACTGTCCACGGAAATGGAACAGCTTGTGCAGAGGCCTGGCGCTAGGGGAGTGCCTAGGGTGTTGACTGGGGCAGGCCGGCCATGCTTAGTGGTTTGGACTTTATTCCTGGGGTGTGGGGCGCTGTGGATCCCAGTGGAAGGTTCTCTGCAGGTGGGGGTATATAGATAGTCAGATGTGTGTTTTGGGAAGCTTGCCGTGGCTGGTGTGGGGAGGCTGGGGGCCAGTAATCAGGCTGCTAGAAAAATCCAGATGAGAGACCATGGTGGACTGGACTTAGAGATGGGGCAGTGGGGTCAAAGGGTGCTCATTGACAACTTTGACATTGATCGGTGTAATATTTGGCGAGCCACTCACTTTGAAGATCCCTTCCTCAAGGTGGGCATAACAGTCTACCTGGGGGAAGGAACCCCTGAGAGGAGGTGGTATCAGTACTTAAGAACCCTATGCCTGCCTGCCCAGGGGTGGACATAAAACGTTCCAGTCCTCAGGGACTTCCCGTGGGGAGACGTGGGGCACATTATTCCCACTTCACGGCTGCAGGGCTCTGTGGCGTGGTGAGGTCTTTGCCAGGCAGCAGTGGCCAAGCAGGAATTTGAACTCACTTCCAACTTGCAACTAGTGGCTATTTGGAGTCAGGTTAAGCAGTGGAGAAGCAACAGGGGCGGGTGGGTTTGGGTTGGGTGCAGTCGGGGTAAACTGAAGGAGGCTTCCAGGAGGAGACGGATAGAAAGGAGGGAGCCAGCCGGGGGTACCTGAGGGCAAACCCTGGCCTTGCCCCTCTTGGCTGTGGCCTTGGGCACGGTTGTGGTTCTGAGGCTTGACTTCCTTATCTGTAAAGAGGGCTCATGATAGGATGCCCCCATTCTCAAAGGGTTATTACGTGAGTTTGACGAAGCCGCACATGGCCAGTGCTAGGCCCCGTGTCGGTGCTCTGTAAGGGGCGGGTATGATTATTATCAGGATAGCCTGTCATCAGGATAAGTTCCAGGCGGGTGGTGCTTTGCTCAACCTGCCGTGTGTATGTGTGTTGAGGGGAGGGGGGGGGGACTGAGCACGGTGATACTTGAGCTGAGTCTTAAAGGATGAGTAGGAGGGAGGGCTGGGGGCATTCCAGGCAGAAGCAAAAGAACCGCACGCTACTTGATATACCCACAATTCAGGGTGTGCTGAATGAATAAAAGACCATGGGCAGCAAAAATTCTCTTTATACCCTGGACACTTCCTGAATATCTAAATCTGAAGGCTTTGGCAGGTTTAGGGCAGAGAGGAGGGCAGGAGCATCTCTGTCCAGGAGTTCCCCTCCAGATTACAGAAGTGTGAACCTAGGCAAGCCACATCCCCCTGGGACCCCAGGGTCTTCCTCTGTAAAACAGCAGGACTGGAGAGAATGTAGGTAAAGCACAGAGGGCGTCAGAGCAGCCACTGTTATGCCGGAATCCGGGCTGAGCTCTTCTGTTCCTTTTTTAGTCTTTACAACAAACCCAGGTGGTGCCTGTTTTTGAGACCCTCGACTTTACAGTTCATGAAACTGAGGCTTCAAGAGGTTACGTACTTGCTATGAGGTCACGCAGCTGCAAAGTGGAAGAGCTGGGATTTGAACCCAAAGCTGTCGGCCTCAAAGCCATGCCCTTCCCACTTCTGTGGCCCCCAACACGAGGAGGGGCGCTTCTGCCTGGTCTTACTACTCAAATTGTTGCCATTTAAAAAGAAGCTAAGGCCAGGCTCAGTGGCTCCCATCCACTGTGGAGGCTGAGCTGGGAGATGGGAGGATTGCTTGAGCCCCGGAGTTTGGGACCAGCCTGGGCAATATAGCGAGACTCTGTCTCTAAAAAAAAAAAAAAAAACAATTTAAGGCCAGGTGTGGTGGCTCATGCCTGTAATCTTAGCACTTTGGGAGGCCGAGGTGGGCGAATCACCTGGGGTCAGGAGTTCAAGACAGCCTGGCCAACATGGTGAAACCCCATCTCTACTAAAAATACAAAAATCAGCCAGGCGTGATGGCAGGTGCCTGTTATCCCAGCTATTCAGGAGGCTGAGGCAGGAGAATCACTTGAACCCTGGAGGTGGAGGTTGTAGTGAGCCGAGATCGTGCCATTGCACTCCAGCCTGGGTGACAGAGCAAGACTCCATCTCAAAAAAACAAAGAA